TGTGACCTTTACAAATGAAATTTACTTTACTGTTTTATACTCAAGGTTGTTCTAAAATTGTTTGTTTTGGAAAATTTTATAACTCTGTAAATATTGATGTTTAAAGAATAAAGTAACAGTCTGTACATGTGCCACTGCTGGGCAAAGGCCTCCTCTATACAGAGGGTATCAGGGCATAGTCCACCGCGCGGCCCCACTGCGGATTGGCGGACTTCACATATATTCGAAATATATTTTTTTTGTTACTATTTCGAAAATATGCAGGTTTCCTCACGATGTTTTCCTTCACCGCGGAGCACGTGATAAGTCAGTACTTAAAGTTAAAAACTTCATTGGTGCCGGCACCGGGGATCGAACTCAGGTTGCTCGAGTATATTGAATTAAAGGCGAGCGCCCGAATACTGAGCTATCACGGCTCTAAAGAATGTAAATGTTTAATACAATTTTAAAAAGTTATCCTCTATACGTATGTTCATTTATTGTCGCGATTGTAAAGACACGCTGTAGATAAGGGTACGGAACCCTATAACGAGTCCGACTCGCACTTGTTTTTCTTTTCTTTTCGGAGAGCCGTGATAGCTCAGTGTCCGGGAGCTCGCGCTTAATTCAATTTAGTCGAGCAACCTGAGTTCCTTCCCCGGTGCTAGCACCAATGAAATTATTAATTTTAAGTGCTGACTTATCACGTGCTCGGCGGTGAAGGAAAACATCGTCAGGAAACCGGCATGTTTTCGAAATAATAAAAAAAATATCTTAAAAATATGTGGATTCCGCCAATCCGCAGTGTGGTCGCGTGGTGTATGTCCTGATACGCTCTTTATAGAGGAGGCATTTGCCCAGCAATGGGACATTTATAGGCTGTTACTTTACTACAACATAAGAAGTATATTTTGTTTTGTTTTAATAATTCAACGTAAGAAGGAAAAGAGTAATGTATAAAAATCTTTTTAGGTTAGAACTGTTATGGGGACATTGCAACTTAGGGATAATGACTCAATATTATTTTTCACTGCGTCTTATTTACAACGAGCGTGTTCACTTATTCGTATTTAATGTTTAAAAACCGAGTTATTCGTTTGCCAGAATGTAGAGAAGTTTTGCATAAATCAGCCACTAGATCCGAGTATTTACGCTGTGTCATGTTTGTAAATAAATAAATAAATAAAAATATCTTTATTCACATAGACGCTTGCGCGTTCTTATGAAACGTCAAAATTTTACAAGAAATGAACACGTTCGTAAGTTACCACCGGTTCGGAAAGCAGTTTCTGTTGAGAAGAAACCGGCAAGAAACTCAACAGTTGCTCTTTTTTAAAAAAAAAATCAGTTTACAATATAATAGTACATGTACAATAGTCTTGTTTTAGCCTACGTGAGTATCAACAGTATTAACCCCACACATTGGCGTCGTCAAGATATTCAGCAATAGAATAATAGGCTTTAGCCATAAGTTTACTTTTAATTTTTCGTTTAAATTCATCAAGTGGCAGACTTAATATCGACTGTGGGATTTTATTATACATGCGCACACCTTGCCCCATGAACGACCTGTTTACTTTTTGTAAACGAAACAATGGCGTAGTTAGTTTGTCCTTATTTCTAGTATTTAGTTTATGTCTGTCACTATTCTTTAGATAACTATTAATATTATTTTTAACATACAAAATGTTACAATAAATATATTGAGACGCAACAGTGAGTATATTAATCTCTTTAAAAAGGTCTCTGAGTGTATTCCGGGCTCCGATGTTATAGATTGCTCGGACAGCTCTTTTTTGAAGAATAAATATAGAATTTATATCAGATGCACTACCCCACAACAAAATGCCGTAAGACAAGATGCTGTGGAAATAACTGAAATAAACAAGTCTGGCAGTGTCGATGTCTGATAGCTGCCTAACCTTCCTAACTGCAAAAACAGCGGAGCTTAACCTGTTCGCAAGAGATGATAGATGGGGACTCCATTGGAGCTTTGAATCCACTGTAATTCCCAAGAATACAGCGGACTCAACAGGATTAAGGGTTACGCTATTTAATGTTAAGCTAAAACTTCGCCTTCTTACGCTGGGAAGGGTAAAAAGAAGGCATTTAGTTTTTTTAGCATTTAACACCATATTATTAACGGTAAACCAGTGGAGGATACGCGAAAGTGCACTATTCACGTCGTCATAATCCGACACGTTTCGGTCAACCTTAAAAATGAGCGATGTGTCGTCAGCAAACAGTACAATATCACATAACTCACTGGCATAAAAGGGGAGATCATTTATATACACTAAGAATAATAATGGACCCAAGATTGATCCTTGTGGGACACCCATTTTCATGGGGGACCCTGTGGAATTTACATCATTTATAGATACTTTTTGAATTCTATTATTAAGGTAAGAGGCAATGAGATTGAGGGCGATGTCACGAATGCCGTAATAATCTAACTTTTGAAGGAGGGTTTCGTGGTCTACACAGTCGAAAGCCTTTGAAAGGTCGCAAAAGACACCTATTGCATCTTGTGACCTTTCCCAGGCGTTATAAATATGCTTGACAAGTGCGACACCCGCATCCGTTGTCGATCTGCCTTTAGTGAATCCATATTGCTCATTGTGGAAAATTTTGTTCATATTAAAATGTACTAAGAGTTGATTTAAAATTAGTTTTTCAAAAATTTTACTCAGAGATGGCAATATGGAGATAGGTCTGTAATTTCCTGGATCATTTTTATCCCCACTTTTGAAAACGGGGATTATCTTACTGAATTTCATAAGATCTGGAAATATTCCAGAATCTATACATTTGTTAAAAATATTTGCCAAATATGGTGCAATATACGGCATTATTGTACTCATTAATTTTATGGACATGCCCCACAAATCTCCTGTATTTTTAAGATTAATAGAATTCAAAACTTTTATAATATCATTAGTATCTATGTGATTAAATTTAAACGTTTGTCGACAATAGGTAACATTATTTTTTAATACATTAATTGCATCAATGGGAGAGGATTTTAACGTGCATGTAACATTAATTGCAATTTCTGAAAAATAACTTTCAAAACTACTTGCAATTTCGTTATCTGAAGTTATGGGTGTATTGCCTATCACTAGCTTTATAGGTTCCCTGAATTTCTTGGGTCTTCCAGATATACAGGTAATGATGTCCCATGTAGCTTTTATTTTATTACTAGAATTTAAAATCCTATTTCTTATGTAGATAGATTTTGCATGTATACAGACTTTTTTAAATATTTTTGAAAAATTTTGTACCCGTTTATGGAAATTAGGGTCGTGATTCCACTGCCTCATATTATATAATTCATACAGTGAATCCCTACTTTTATATATACCCACTGTTGCCCAGTCACTAAATTTTAATTTTGATTTTTTAACAATTGTGCGGGGTTTAAAAATATGATTATAGGAAGTTATGAGAAAATCAACCATTGATCTATAACAATCATTAGGGTTATTGACTCCGATATCTTTATGGAATACATGCTGTGCTACTTTATCTTTAAAAGAATTTAGTCTCCTAGCAGTGATTGGTCTACACCTGATCTTAATTTCACTTGTAGTAATGTTTTCATTTATTGAAAATTTTAAACCAAGATGATCAGAGCTCAGATAATTTATAATAGATTTGTCATATACTTCATTGTGACAGAAAACGTTATCGATACATGTGGAGGATAAGTTAGTAACACGAGTTGGTTCATAAAAAAGATTTTTAAGTTTGAATGAATTAAATAAATTTAAAAGCCGCTTACTAAGTTGTGTTACTTGTAATAAATCCACATTAAAATCTCCACAAACTATGACTGATTTACTAGTTAAACACAGTTTCTTAAGGACATCATCCATGACACACTCAAACTGGTCGAAATCACCGGAGGGGGGTCGATACACGCATACTATAATATACTGTTGACTCTCAACGCAGGATAATTCTATAGAACGTTCGACAGAGAGTGCCATTATATCCTGTCGATTTTTACAGACTATATCATTTCTAACTAACACAAGAGAGCCACCGCGTATAGCATTTACTCTTACGAACGAACTTAACATTTTATAATTCTCTATATTTACAATATTACAATTCTTATGTAACCATGTCTCTGTGAAGCAGATGACATGAATATTAAATTTTCTAAGGAACAGTTCTATTTCAGGTTCTTTGCCACCCAAGCCTTGTATATTTTGATGTACAATATTTAATTTCTGTGGCCTAGGTGTTGTCTCAATGTTTAGTTTAAACTAACATTGTTTGATGACGGATTATTACATGTTAAAATATTCTTAGTTGTACTATGTACAACTGGGTTCTGTATATTGTATGCTACTAAAGTAGCAATTTGTTTCTTATAATATAATGGCAAATACCAAGTATTTTTTGTCAGTTGTTTTAATGATTATAACCGAAAGTAAACAACGTCTGCCGCTCTCTAAACATTTGCACGACGGCTACCGAGGACTAATCTGTGCTTGCAATAATAGGCCTTGCCTTGGATGAATGATATTTGTGCTTTCGTTCACCGGGACTTTGCGAAGCTTCATCGGTCTCAGAGACCGCTAGAATGCTACGTTATACAATGTTTAAAAAGTGATAGCACATTCTTCGGGCGTCCGCTTAGTATACTCGGTGAATCTGACTTCAAATCCGTCGGTGAAATTGTTAATAGCAAATATTAAGTCCCAATTCATCACGTGCTCAAGTAATATAAACTAAAAATAAAATAATATAAAAATATGTGAAATCTATCAAATCAATCGAACCACGGATAAGATAGGAACGGACGCGCCCTAATACTTAAAAACGATTATCAGTACGACGGTAGAATAATCTTATTCTATTGCTAAAACTGAATATTCCTCTCTATCAAAGGTTGTAGATCCGATTGCTGGGTGTGTTGGATGCCTGCTCGTTTGCCATTTTTCCTCAAAGGAGAAATAATCACATGTATAGAGAAACATATTATAATAAGACTTTAATATTTTCCGTAGGCCGGCGACTACCCGGTGTCTGGCGTGGAGCCGGATTATGGACAATATGTGTCTTCCCCAGCAGCTCACTATAATCACATGGGCCACCTCACTATGGCGCCGTCGCAGAAGTACCCACACGTGAGTCACGTAACCCCTGTCGACTTAACAGATGATCATTGATTAGCACTTGCCAAAGTTCAGTTCTCTTTCCTCTTTAACAACGATACACAAGCACAAGCTACGCACTTTTTTTTTGGACTGGATGAGCCACTGTTGGTCTTAGGGGCCGTCACAGTTCCGACGGGCTTGAGGTGGTCTGGCGCACGGGGCGCCTAGCCTGAACCTCGGAACAAGCTACGCACACATGCACCTCGGTTATGGTTTATGCTGCATCTAATCTCTGCACTTAAGATGAAACATTAGCGGTTAAAGCGTGGGTTCGATTCTCACGGCGGCGAAAGACTATGTTGAAGGATAATCTGCGTGAATGATGAATCACGCAGATAATGTGTAACAAGAATTTTTACAATTGCCGCCAATTACCATAAATAACAAATGACAAATGAATGCAATAATATATCGCATTAGGTTATTAAAGAGTACCATAATCCAAATTTAAAAGAAGTTTTCATTAGCAATGTTTCTAATCTAGCCACTTGTATAAACAAAGTTTCATCCTAGTATATTCTTGGGTCTTGAATTATCAAGAATGTCGTCAATACATTATTGTCATTTTGACTTCGTGGATCCGCCTTAGAACCAAAAATAGTTTTGTATTAAGTGGGCTATAAATTGACCTAGTTTAGGTATACACAGGACTGGTAATCTACATTTATACACAGTTTTATACAAGAACAAGTTCGATATATTAATTAAAACTTTTTAATTAGCGCCGCAGTACATGACCTGTTTCGTTGACGTCGTTAGATTTCCGTTTTAATTATGTTCTTTTTGTATTCTTTAGTTAGAGATAAGTGCAGTGCGGTACTCTGGTCTTCGGTGATAATGACCATCCCTGTTTTTCACGAAAAAAAATACTTGGTTTAACGCCAAGCTTCAAGAAAGTAACGATTCTTACAAATGATATCTTTTTTTCGTGTTTAAATAATGTTTTTCTTTTAACCACGTTTTATTGATTTATTCGTCTTGTTAGTGTGTTCGGTTGCTATATTTTATTTTTCATGTGAAACTTATTTCCTTGGGCCTGAAATATATTATGAAGCATAACACAAAATAAATGCAATAGAATAAAAATTTTGGTAGATATTTTCGCGCAGTGAGGTCAACGACCACTTAGCATTGTTTTTTTATTTATTAAAAAACATTGCCCTTACTTTAGGATAACATTATCTTGTGTTGTAAGGACGTTTTACATACATAAATTTCACGTGGACAAACACCCAGATGCGAAACAACTATCTGTGGGTCACACAAATAGTTGTCCCGTGTGAGAATCGAACCCATGACCCCCGACGCCGAAGTCAATACCTTGGCGACAGCGCCACGGAGTCATCAATAAAAATGTTCGTGAAGCGTTTGGGGTGAGAAACCATATGACGCATGTTATTAATATTAGGCTTAAGTATGTATACGTGGAAATCTATGAAAAAATCTCTCGCAACTCGCTTTTCGCGATTCGCTATACGTTACCAGTCGTTCGCGTGTAACATAAGCCATTAGGTATTACGCGTAGGTGCTCGTGTACTCTTGTACCCGTAGGTGATGAAGTGCAGTTCCGTATTCTCCCCCAGGTGATGGACTCTGTTTCGGTTAGCGGAGGCGTGTACGGAACGAGCGCGGGGGCCGCACATTACGGCACTTACGCGCATTACGGTGCGGCGTATCCCGCACAACCCGCCTACCTCGTGGAGCCCGGCTCGCAGGTTCCCGCCTATATGGCGCAGGTGAGCAGACAGTGCCCTATTTAAATTGTTAGCGTTATTTTAAATGTCCTAAATGGCTTCGTTGTACGTACGTGAAGCTTGCACTCTCATTGCCTCTTATGGGAAGTACAGTATCCTTTGTTGAGCAAAGGCTTACTTACTGTATTGTACGGTCAGGTCACGGTCCGCCGCGCGACCCAAAATTAAGAACTTCAATGGTTATTTCGACTCTGGTTGCTCAAATATACTGGATTTAAGGCGGCTCAGACCCAGACATTATTTTCCACGGCATTCATGTATAATATGTTTTATAACAAACTAATTTAATATTTTGATGTGTTTTTCAGGAGTACGTGGAAGGAGGTGGCAGTGCTTCTCCAAGGAGTGCCTCGCCAGGCGCTCTGCCGCCGCAGCACAACCTCCACTTGCAACAGAGGTTGGTGGAAATAGAACTTTAAAGAACACCTTGATATGTATTTTAATATTCACTACATAGTATAAAACAAAGTCATCCCGCTGTCTGTCTGTCCCTAAGTATGCTTAGATCTTTAAAACTACGCAACGGTTCTTGATGCGGGTTTTTTTAAACGGTTTTATTTAGCTCGACCCGTACGGAATTTGTTTGTTTATTTATTTGGGTCAAAATTAGAAATTGAAATTTAAGCACCTTGCCGTTGTCAGATTGATCTGAAATTTGGTACACACATTTAATTTAGATGACAATACAATATTAACAAAAAGAAATTTAACAAAAAAAAAAACAAAATAAATGAAAGAGTGATTCAAGAGGAAGGTTTATATGTATAATACAATGCACCCGTGCGAAGCCGGGGTGGGTCGCTAATTTTTCTATAATTATCGTGCCGCTATTCTAGAGCCGTGATAGCTCAGTTTCCGGGCGCTCGCCTTAATTCAATATACTCGAGCAACCTGAGTTCGATCCCCGGTGCCGGCACCAATGAAGTTTTTAACCTTAAGTGGTGACTTATCACGTGCTCCGCGGTGAAGGAAAACATCGTGAGGAAACCTGCATATTTTCGAAATAATAACAAAAAAAATATTTCGCAGTGGGGCCGCGTGGTGGACTATGCCCTGATACCCTCTGTATAGAGGAGGCCTCTGCCCAGCAGTGGGACATGTATAGGCTGTTACTTTTATCGTTTTCTAACTGTTTAAAGCTTGCTGCTCTAAGCCTCAAATTGATGATTTCATTTTCTTTTCAGGTATGATTCCGCGTCGCTGGAGCAACTGGGACGGCACTATTGCGTGACGTCACCGCGCGGCGAGTACGCCGGCGACGCGTACGGCTACCAGCACTACCCGACCGCTTACGACCCACCGCCGCACCAGCCTCCGCCGTTCAAGGTTAGACCTTATTGTGTATATGCAAAGTCTCATTTTCATTGACTCACTCACCGGACGAACAGATGTTCGTGGTACTTATCCCGACTGACATGCCCATTCGTGCAACAGCCAAGACTGATGCGTGGCTCTACCAAAGTTTACCGCACACTTCACAACAAACCGAAGTTCGTCAACTCATTGGTGCATTACACAGTTTATAAGTCTCGGAGGTGTCACATGCCGAGAGTATTGCTTTCTTGTCCGCTCTAACGTACAATTAGGTTTTCTATCTCGCTCCCGTAATACTTTGCTGTACAATCACTATTGTGTTATTTCTGTTTGTGCACTTTTACATTGTCCTACATGTTGTCTCATGTTAAATCATTGTGACTCAACCGATGTTGCAAGTGTCCATGGGCAGGGTTGATCGCTTAATCAGGTGATCCGCTTGCTCGTTTGCCTCCTTTTGCATAAAAATCAGACCTCGCGGAGGTTAAACTTTGCGTCCTTTACGTAACAATAAAAAAGATGTTTTTGTAAAAAAAAAACATATTTTTTACAAAATACGGGCTTTTGTAAATTTTTGTATGATTTTTCAGGATTCACAAAACGGATTAAGCCTCGGTAGCGCCGGCGGGCAGTCAATGTACGGCGATGACGACGAACTGCAGAAGCAAATGGCTGGAATGGCATTAGGTTTGTTGCTCGTAATTTATAAACATGATCATCTGTATTAATTAGATTAAAGCAAATAGTTATATAGAAGCAATTAATTGTTATTCAGGACGATATTATGTCCTGTGTGTAATAATGTAGTAAAGTAATTATAGTATACAGGGTGGCTTTTCTAAAGGTGCCCAAATTCAAACAGGAGGTTCAGACTCGGTAGTAAAATCGTTTATTGAAATAAAAACAAACTTTTTTTTCCAAAGAATTGCCATTCTATACCCTAAAAACAGAACTTGTTTACAATGCGGTAGTCATTCATAAATGCGTCGTATATATTTTAAACAAACTTGTGTGCGCGTTAGTTATGAATGATCGCGCGTAAAATAAATGAGTTGCCCATAAATCACACACTTTTTGGGATAAGTTCAAATTAATGTATTTAATTAATTACGAGTGATTTTAAATATTTATCATTTTATATAACATTATTTATGTCTAGAATTTAATAAAAAAAATGGATACAATTAAAAAAGCCTCCCTGTATAGTCATGAATTTTGAACAACATTTTACTATTGATATTAGGTATTTAAAGAAATTCGGTCCTTAATTTTTTTTGCTTCTAGACCTACTTTTATGTCCCTGTATAATCTGCGTACAGATCAAGATCTGAAATAATGCAATGCACTCACACAAATGCGATGTTGAGTTTACAACTCAAGAGGTGTATTGCATTTGTGTGAGTGTAAAATAATAGTGTGCACTCCCAAAATTGAACAATTTTTTTAAAGATGTAAACGAAAAAGACATCTCATTGCCCCAAATAGTAGCGAGATCTATGGAAATTGCGTATTCCACTGTAAAAACCATACAGGTGATCAAGAGTGGAAAAATGTTTCTACCCACGCTGTAAAATAAGGAAGAAAATGGGCGAGATACCGCTTTTGATGGTATAACGGAGCGATTCACTAATAATAAAGGCTCTGTTATCAGACGAGAGAAAAGAAGTAATGAAGATGCAATGACCGGCGTAGAAGATTTAAATTTTTTAATAATCAAAGTGTCAGCATTTCCTTCTAGTGAAACATTGATGATATTGATCTGATTATTTGACTTACTCTACTTTTGGCGATCGCTCACATAATAGCTGAACTTACGCCTTGAGAACTGTGCATAATTGTTAAAATAATTGCTTGTTTAATAATTGCTGTAAAAATAATTGCTGTAAAACGTAAAAATAATAATTGCACGTTTATTGTAATTGTAACATTTTAATTTTTTGCATCTGTGTAACTTGGTCCTTCGTACGGATTTTACGTTTGTCTCATTCCCACAGTTCACCCCAGCGTGGGTGGCCGGGAAGACGGCGGTGGACTGCAGTGGCGCGATCCGAATCTACCCGAGGTGATCGGATTCTTGAACTCGCCTTCAGACGTGGTGAAGGCCAACGCTGCGGCATATTTACAACACCTCACCTATATGGACGATCCTAATAAGCAGAAGACGAGGAGCTTAGGTAGGTTTTTTTCCATGTAATAAATGAAACATAATGCACGAAATCTTTAAAAGTGCCTTGAAGCTTACTATTACATCCATGAGACTTAGGTATTAATTTTCTTTACCTCTTTAAAAACATCTCCCGCATTGGAAAATTATTCCCGTGTTTTTCTAACACCGCGTACGAACGTTAAATCCCGGTCATAAACTGTCGGCGGACTACGAACAACTTTGAGCAATTCAATGTTTGTCCCTTGTTGGGTTTGAAATAAAAACGGCGTACAGTGGCAGTTGGCGAGTTAATCACACATACCGAAGCTTAATCAATTACCTATTTTTAGATGGCAGAGTGTGGCAAACGTGCACCTGACATTAAGTGATTACTGCCGGACGTGGTAGCGCGATACCTTCGACCACGTGTCTTCATCCACCTTAATATAGTACTTGATTCGGCAGCCGCCAACTTAAGAAACGAAACATAATTATGTTAAACTGAATAATACTAGGTACGAGTGGACCTCTCAAAGATCGCGGTGCTAGTAACAGGCTGCCCATCGACAAGCATTTTTTTTTTGGCATTTTTTTTTTTGCAAACATTGCCCTTATTGTAGGAGAACATTATCCTGTGTCGTTAATTTCACCTGGACGGACACCCAGATTCGAACAATTGTCTATTGGTGTCACTATCAGTTGTCCCGTGTGGGGATCGAACCCGCAGCTGATTCACATTCAAAATATCTTTATTCAAATAGAGGCTTGCTCGTTCTTATGAAATGTCGAATTTTACTAAAAAATTAAATACATAAGTTTGTAAATAAGTTACCACTGGTTCGGAAAGCAGTTTCAGTAAAAAACGAAAGTTTCTTTTTTTAGGGTTTCCAAAGGGTAAAACAGGATCCTATTACTAAGACTCCGCTGTCTGTCTGTCTGTCCGTCTGTCAGCAGGCTGTATCTCATTAACAGTGATAGTTAGACAGTTGAAATTTCACAGATGATGTATTTCTGTTGCTGCTACGACGTCAAATACTAAAAAATGGAATAAAATAAATATTCAAGTGGGGCTCCCATACAACAGACACGATTTTTTTTGCCGTTTTCATAGACAATGGTACGGAACCCTTAACTCGCGTGTCAGACTCGCGCTTGGCCGGTTTTAATATAGATAACCTAATAACGCTCGACGTCCATTTGCAGGCGGCATCCCGCCCCTGGTGCGTCTGGTGTCGCACGAGAGCCCCGAGGTGTGCCGCAACGCGTGCGGCGCCCTGAGGAACCTCTCCTACGGCCGCCAGAACGACGAGAACAAGCGCGCGATAAGGGACGCGGGCGGTATACCCGCCCTGATGGCGCTGCTCTGCCGCGCCGCCGACATGGAGGTGATAATTTTTTTTCCAATATATATTTTCACATAATGTTATCTAGTCCCAAACTAAGCAAAGCTTGCATTATGGACACCAGGTAACTGATAAACGTACTTAAACATAATTTTCTTTTGTGGATGAATATATATTATATATACAGAAACTCCCGGAAAAAGACTACGTACATCACACAATATTTTCCCAGTAGTGGGTATCGAACCCACACCCACTGGCACAAGAGCCAGGTTCACGACCCACTTTGCCAGTCATCTGAAATAACTGAATTCATTGTTTTTTTTTATTAGGTAAAGGATCTGGTAACAGGAGTCATCTGGAATATGTCGTCGTGCGAGGACCTGAAGCAGTCGATCATCGATGACGCGGCGCAAGTGATAGTTAACAAAGTCATCATACCGCATTCCGGGTGGCATCCAACCAATCCCGGCGACACTTACTGGTCAACAGGTACGTTTGCATTGCTGTATAGTACTTCTTCTTTTATTTACAGTTTCATTTACCCCGTAGAACCGATAACCGTTGGGGGAGAAAGGTTCTCGAGTGGAAGCCTCGTACTGGCTATCGCATTTATGGACGACCCTCCACTAGATGGAGTGACGAACCGTGCAAATGTGCGGGAAGTCGATAGACGCAGGTGACATAGGATCGAGCTTCGTGGCAGTCTATGGGGGAGGCCTATGTTCGGTAGTGGGCTCAAACAGGCTTATTTTTAATATGAAAAGTTGCTAAGCGAAAAAACTGTTCACCTGATGTTAAGTGAATACCACCGCCCATGGAAATCTGCTACACCCGAGATTTCCAGATGCGTAGACACCCTTTTGAAAATTGGGCTCCGGCCACCCCACTCACCAAACGAAACGCGAATGTATTCTACTTCACGCCGGTCTTATGAGCCTGCCCATTCGTGCAACATCCGAGGCCGCCGCGTGGCCACGCCGCCGTGAAACCACAACCATGATAGTGCATCGTCCCCCTTACGCGGCAGTGTTCCGCAACGCGTCGGGCGTGCTGCGCAACGCGTCGTCGGCGGGCGAGTACGCGCGGCGGCGGCTGCGCGCGCTGCCCGGCCTCGTGGAGGCGCTGCTGCACGCGGTGCGCGCCGCGGTGCGCGCCAACGCCATCGGCACCAAGATCGTCGAGAACTGCGTCTGCGTGCTGCGCAACCTCTCGTACAGGTGAGCATGCTCACATACACATCATAGCTGACGACCGTGAAGAACTGCGTCTGCGTGCTGCGCAAACTATCATACACACACGCGCACGCACATACGCGCACATATACACCATAGCCTGTCGAACTAACAGAATACCATTATTTCTTGTTATTCCTATTGTGGCCCAACAACATTATATTATGTTAACTTACCGCTAGTGGTAGTATATTCATTTTTATTATATGGCCATATAATAAAAATGAATATACTACTATTTATATGGCCATAGGGGGCAGGCCAGACGCCTATAGTTTTGCGTTACAATGCGAATTTTGGACTTGGGGGTACGTGAACTGAACTCGTGGGGCCTATATTACTTGTTTACATTGTTTATGGACATATTGGGTAACTGTCGACGTAAATTACTTATAAGCATAAAACTTTTGTAATATAAGCAGGTACATGCAGGCGTTAAAATATCGTCAAAGATAGCAATTTTAGTCTGCCATCAGAGAATGGGAGGAATTTGCAACTTAGACAGTCAAGATGTGTAACTTATGTTTTTTTTTATTGGTCTATTTTAAAGCGCATCTTTGTATGTATGTCTGCAGATGCCAAGAAATAGAGGATCCTTTATATGATACGAGAGCTCCACCCACACAATCTTCCGGGCAGGCTAGAATACAAGCTAGTGCATCCAAAGGTAACTTATTATGAATATCGCTCTCTAATTTAATTATGAAAACATCTAACAATAAATATAAATTCTCATTTACAGAAAAAAGAAGAAATGATCGTTTTCTATGATGGAATTACTTATTCGTTTTTTTTAATAATTTGACTAAAAATTAGTGTTTCTTATAAACTCAAGGTTATCAATCTCTGCTTATCTGATTTGGGTTATTAACGCGAGGTGGCTTTACGGAAATTAAAAAAAAATGTATATTAAAAAATGTTATTAAAAAAAATATATGTTTCAGGCGAAAACCTCGGTTGTTTCGGCGGAAGTAAAAAGAAGAAGGAGGGATCGTCGTCTTCAAACTCCACCAGTCCCCTGGGCAAGAGCGATCCTGACACTCAGCCCCTCGGGGAGACCGGCTCCAACACGCAGCTTGGCTACAGCGTACCCAAGGGCACGGAAATGCTGTGGTCACCCGAGGTTAGTGCAAGAAATAAAAAAAAAAACCAATAGCCGTTGCCCTCGCCTTTGCTCCGATTTCTATTTCTATTTTTTGGGATAGAAATTAGTGTGACATTTTAACTATCCCTGTGTAAAAAAAATGTTTTGAATCCTTGACAAACCAATAAACACACTTTCGCATTTACAATGGGAGTTGTGTTGAGTAACCATTTTTTCATACACATTTTACATTTGCAGCGGATATAGTTGCACGAATGGGTTAACTACACACTACGTACACTGAACTATTTACACTTTTAATAATCGTCCGGTGAAGGATTTAAGAGATTGGGCTTCCAGTAACCCAATCTTTTAAATGTTGATGACTCCGCAGTTGTCAAGTTATTGGCTTCGGCACCAGGGGTCATGGGTTCGATTACCGCACGGGACATCTTTTTGTGTAACCCACAAATAATTGTTTGGATATGAGCGTTGGTCCACGTGAAATTTTATTTCAATGGTTTTGTACATTTTTTTTTTCATGTCCACGGGCGGTTAAAGTTTGATGTTGTGTGAACCGCTTAGTCATGGCCGCTTTCGTCTGAGTCGGGAGCTCGTTTCACTTGGATATTCCCTTTTTCCAGGTGGTGCCCCTGTACATGGCGCTGTTGCAGTCCTGCTCCAACCCCGAGACGCTGGAGGCGGCGGCGGGCGCGCTGCAGAACCTCGCCGCCTGCTACTGGCAGCCCTCGATCGATATACGCGCCGCCGTGCGAAAGGAGAAAGGTGAGGCTTAATTATTACACGCGGCGGTGGGGCCGCGCAACAGTCATCTTTTGGCACGAATGGGCAGGTCCGTCCGGGTAAGTACAACGACCTCACGGATGACCGGCGCAATAATCACTTAATATTATTATTATTGGAACGAAGTTCCTTACGGCAGGCGTGGAGGGGATAGGGATTTTGCTGCGCGACCGAACTGAAAAAAATGTGATAGTAAAACCGTAAGAAAAAATCCGTGGAAAAAAGTGCGTGGAATAAAACCGTTAAATGAGACGTGCGCAGGCGCGACAGTCGCATACACAAACAAGTAGTGTATAATTTTGTTATTTTAGTTGATAATTTGAATTACGATGTTTTTTTATTTTAAGTAATTTATTATTTCCTAAAATACTGAATTTCCTAAATACTTTCTTGTACTTAAATAAAAACTAATCAGCAAAATTTAAGAGAAAAATCAAGAAAACCTACATAAAATTGAGCACGATTTTTTTTTTTGCAATTTGTGTCTATTCTACATTAGCCGAAGGAACTTCGTTCCTACCTGGTGTCTCACGACACCACATCATTTATTTTTTTTTGCTTTTCAAAACATTGCCCTTACCTTCGGATAACATTATCCTGTGTTTTAAGGACGTTTTCCAAACATAGATTTCACGTGGACAAACACCCAGATGCGAAACAATTATTTGTGGGTCACACAAATAGTTGTCCCGTGTGGAAATCGAACCCACGACCCCCGACGCCAAAGCCAATACATTGGCCACTGCGCCACGGAGTCCTCAAAATTATTTAATATGTATTCACTGATTATTTATTATGTATACCGTACTTTAATACGCAGATAGAAATTAAAGTTTATAGTCGGATATACTATTGATATCTATTTTATAATTATTAAGTTAAGATTAAAAATGCGATTTTAATCCTCTACGTAGAATAATTTTCCGAAATTGTTTAGTTAAAAGCCTACTATCCGAAAACAAGTTTCACTTGTAGAGGGGCTTCACAAAATTTTTTATTGACTTTTATTAAGGGCTAATCCTGTTTTTCGAGGTAAAATGAGTGGTTAAGTATTTCTGGACAAAAAAAAAGTTGTCAATCCTTTGTTCTGTCGCAACATTAAAGTAAAACATGTCAACATTATAGGAATTCTAATTTGCACTAGGATGTCAACAGTGATTAAAACTCGTCTATTATACTCCCAAGGTCTTCCGATCCTGGTGGAACTGCTGAGAATGGAAGTAGACCGCGTGGTGTGCGCGGTGGCGACCGCCCTCCGCAACCTGGCCATCGACCAGCGCAACAAGGAGCTCATCGGGAAGTATGCCATGCGCGACCTGGTGCAGAAGCTGCCAAGTGGAAACCAGCAGCACGATCAGGTATAGCCTTTGACATGGACTCAGTGGCTCAGTACTTAGAGTACCAGCCTAGCGTTGCCTATCTTACTGCTCTACTTCCATATAATTGCTGTCAAACTCATCTTTTATTTCATGACATACTATTTCAATATGAAATAAACATTTTTTTAAACATTTTTGTATTTGTATTTGTCTATGACATGACATACTACGTCTTTGTACAGGTAAAAAAAGTAAGTTAAATTAGTTTTACTACTTTTTTAAAGCCTTTCAAGCAAGCCTTATAAATAATGACACTCTAAATCAGTTATTTATTTGAGGTACAATTGAACTTAAGAACTAAAAAATAGTTAAATTTTAATAATTTCTAGCCTGTGACTATAATGCGCTTTTAACCGGCAGTAATTACAAAATGTACGCTTTTCTTTATCATCTATTACCTCATTGTTAAATACCATGTACTAAACTCTATATGATATATCCTATTCACAAGGTAATATTCCAATACAAATATTTTCATTTTGAATTGTCGATGGGTAGGCCATATTCGAACTGATAACCGAGAGGCCTTTGTTCCACAGTGGAACAAAGGCCTGCGGTGGGGCCACGCAACAGTTGCACGTTGTACTCTTTGAATTTCAAGGGCACGTCCGACGACACGATAGCGGCCGTGCTGGCAACCCTCAACGAGGTGATAAAGAAGAGCGGCGAGTTCTCCCGTTCCCTGCTCGAGGCCGGCGGAGTGGAGCGTCTGCTCAACCTCACCAAGCAGCGCCATCGTCACACGCCCAGAGTGCTCAAGTTTGCTGGTGAGATGCTCTTACCTGAAATGGTCCTCGCAATTATCGACAGCAGTCTTTTAAAGGTTCTTTAGTGGCAGCCTCATACTGGCAACTCAGTGTTGGACGACCCTCCACTAGATGGAGTGACGACCTGTGCAAACGTAAACGCGACGAATCCGAAAAAAAAAATACTTTCAACTCTGTTTATCAGCAGGTTTGAAAAGAAGTGATTTTCACAGGCCAAGTTCTGATGACGATGTGGTCGCACGCCGAGCTGCGCGAGGTGTACCGCAAGCACGGGTGGCGTGAGGCCGACTTCCTGACGCCGGCCAGGGCTGCCCAGCCGCGGGGCTCCTCCAACAGTAGCGGTGCGTGGCAGCCCTGCACACTCGCACACCCCCCGAGCTGAAATCGCACAATTTCTCGAGTTTAAATACACCGGACTCACCCATAACACTCGCACAATCTCTCTAGTGTAAATACACCGGACACATCCATAACACTCGCACAATCTCTCTAGTGTAAATACATCGGACACACCCATAACACTCGCACAATCTCTGGAGTTTAACTACACAAGACATATACACACAAGACAACTACATAAGACCCATAATACTCGCACAATCTGTCGAGTTTAAATACACAAAATTTTCCTCCTAGCACTCGCTCAATCTCTCGAGTTTAATTACACCGAACTCCCTCATAACACTCTCACAATCACTCGAGTTTAAATACACCGGACTCCCCCACAACACTCGCATAACCGAGTTTTAATCCTCGCACAGATCGCTATCAAACATAAGACACATATAAAAACCCATGCAAAGTAGTTAATATCGTAGAGAAATGTATTTAACAAACACAAAATTAGAAAATCATAACCCTATACGCAATGATTTTAACTATGCCATTTCCGTATCGAACATATTCCAAAAAATTTTACATAAAAAGACACATATTATTTCTTATATTTTGATTTAACTAATCTAAAAAAATCAATAGGCATAACGCTTTGCCTACAGCTGTGTCCTAGTTAAGTTTGCTCAAGTACTCTTTCTATAGTTGTAGCATAATTTGCATAATATGTCTGAGTACGCATACGTCACTTTTAAATATTTTTATATCATGCAAGGTGCATTAAAGTATCAACCTTCACGTTATGACATCAACCATTAGTCATTGCACTTCTCAAGGATGATGTAATGAGTGCATTGTACATACTTGAACGTATCTCGAGTCGTGCATTGTGTGGTTTGTTTTCTCTGTTTGTGTAAATGTTTGCTTTGTTCTTTTGTGCTCCACTATCACCATGATATAAATCTATCTTCTCGACAAAAACTAGATAGAGAGTAACTCGACTTGCAAAGTGAGTGAAACACCTCCATTTACTACCTTCATATGGTATAGAAAGGTTTATCTATATACAAGGAAGTAACTTTAAAACAATATGAAACCAACCAGAGCAACGGTGTTCAAATGTCATAACTCTCTAACTAGCACAACATCATATTGGCGTTGCATTATAACAACAATAAAATTGTGCAATCATATACATCCTCTGGTCATGTTCGTAGCTGTGTTCGTTCATATAGAAAATAATATATACATATAAAACAAAAAAATATGCTATTTGAAAATTTTGAAAAACCTTTTTTTGTGCTGATTGGGCTGAGAATATTTATAAGGCAGTAATTAGTAATGTCATTGACCTGAACCTTAAATATTTCTAAACTCTTTTGGGAATTGTACAAATCACGCACGTCACGCGGGCGCTCGAAAAGTCTAAACCCTATTATGTCATCGTAAGGGTCAAAATCGTTAGTCGTGCCAGAGTCGGCACACAGCGAACGCAGCTACGCTCATCCGCGCGACGTCCACTCGCATTGAGCCGTGTACATTTGGGTGATGCATGGCGCGGGCAGGTCAGGGCACGCCGGCCGGCGCCGCTGGCACAGCGCCGCACTCGCCGAGCAACGCGAACAGCACGCTGAGCCGGCCGATGGCCTCCACGGGCGGAACCCGCTACGAGGACCGCACTATACGCAGGCATCGAGAGGTACAGTACGCGGAACTCTAATGCGGCCCCTGAAGTTTGTTCGACTCGTTGCGCAGTACACTAGACGGACGGCCCTACCCACAGCGGAGGGCCCAGACCCGTTCTGCGTATGATGAAGCTTTAATAGTCTCGGGACTGAAAGCACAAACATCAGTTAATACAAGATACAAGATACTAGACGGAGATTCGCCCTTGCAGTATATATCTCTCCGTCTCGCTCGCACAATACGTTCGTGTACAGTCGACGAATAACACTTTACTAACAATGATACTTTATACTAATATATTGATAATGCGCCTGAGTTAAGACAGGAAAACGTCCCGATTGGAATGCGGCAAACAAAGAAAGAGGCAGGAATAAGTTTAATGCGGGAGCGAGAATGACGCTCGTAACTCGAGAATTTTGACTATCGCTATCCTTTTCGTACCATTCCAACGAAACGTGTGAATGAGTGTTGTCTATGTGTCTCTGTTTGGAAATAAGACACTTTTTTTATTTTGTATGCGTATAACATCGACTATCATTGTTTATTCGACATGAAAGAAGGGGAGGAGATTCTCAGTTCGATGTATTTTTTTATGTTTGTTACGCCTGAAGGCCATCGTTTATGAATTGATTTTGAAAATTCTGTTTGCATTGGGTTGTTCCGCTTAGTATTGATATTGATCCTGGGATACATCAGGCAACTCAACCGACGCAAAATGATGGCCCAGTTGCCAAGGTTTTGACTTCGGCGCCGGTGGTCGTGGGTTTGATTCCCACGCGGGACAACTATTAGTGTGACCCATAGATAATTGTTTCGGATCTGGATGTTTGTCCACGTGATTTATTTTAAATTTTTTTTTAGTAAAACACTTAGGTTTGTTAAACGCTATAACAACATAGGTTATAAATAATACTGCAATTAAAAAAAAGTTACAGAAATGTATGGTTAGCGAGAAATTTTAAGGTCGGTTTTGTTTTGTATTTTGTTAATAAAAATGTGAACGTGGAGTCTTTTAGGTGCTAGTCTTAGTTAGCTATTAAGTGGTAACTCCAGTTTTGCAGTTGACTGTCAATTCGGAGCTAACTTCACTCGGGCGCATTTTAGTTTTGCAAGCGGTCACGTCAGGCTTACTCATATTGCCTTTTGGGTGACGTGGTTGTGACACGGATTTAAAGATTCGGTAATTCCAATACAACAGCTTGTATCATGAAGCAGCAATCAAGCTAGCTGTGCATTGCGGTTTTGTCTTGGTTGTTTTTAGATCCATTCATCCTTTGTTTCGCATACTTGTGTACAATCCTGTTTCATTCATGCTTATGGTTTCGGTGTTTGGGTTACGGTGGTTACATGTCCGTTGATTGCAGCGTTATAAAATGTTGTATAGATTTGTATTATATATTTTTTTAAATAATGTCCGTCCAATTTGTTATCAACTCCACTAACAAGGACATGCATGGCGTGTGTTTCATTCCGTCGACTGTTATGGGTTGGCATGGATTAACTTAACGACAGAGCATGTTATCCGGCACTTTGTAAACTTTAATGGAGATAAACTTTAATGGAAATCTATAATGAAATAGATTATAGTTGATTTTACTTTCAAGAAAACGAATTCTTTCGTTTAACCTAACAAAGTCACTAGTCCTAACAAATTCTCGAAAAATCTTTTCTTCTGAGAAGCCGTAAATCCCCGAACGAGCCTGCCCATTCGTGCAACAATAGAAGCTGTTATCTTAGCATTAGTTTGTCTTGTAGGTGTCGATACCGTACCACCTTAAAATGTAAGGACCTTTTCACACCGGTCCATTCCAATTTAATACAAACCAGCTTGATAAGCAGTAGGCCCTACTATTAGTTTTCGACGTGCCAGTTTGTAAACCCCCTAATGTTTTTAAGGTCTATTCGCCGTATTATTTTCTACTATGTCACTTTCCCTGTTGCAGAGCGATGACGTGCCGACTCTGGACTCGAACAGCTACCAGGACGGCCTCGGTATGGGCAACCCGAACGGGCGGCCGATGAACCTGCAGGGGGTCCAGGCTCAGATGCCGATGCCGCCGGGCCGTTAGCCGCAGCGCAGTTAGCAGTCTATGTGGGCGATGACCCTAATGCCTCGATGGACCAACTCTATACGCCTGCCCTTCGCGGTTATCGTTTTTTTTTGCAGCTAACGAGCGGCAGCTAGTGTTCGAGCGGTGGCCAGTTATAAAAAAAATTATAGAATACAAGCAGCGGAAGTGACAGCAGTGCCCAGTTAAAAAAAAAAAACGGGCTGGCTCTCGTCCGATGATCGATTGCCCATAGACATCTTTCCGTAAACAAAACACCGCTTCATCCTTCTTTCAGTAATTTCACGTTGGCGCGTATTGCTATTATCGTTATTGAATTTTGTGACGTTCAAACGTGATGAATCCCCGATCGATATCGGAACTGTAAGAAATCTGTCAACGTCGTTATCGAAATTAGAAATATCAGACGACAGATTTCAATTCGTATCGAGGAACGAAAACTGTTGTTTATATTTTGAAAATAATCCGAGAGAATTTCCTAAAGATACCTAACTACTAGGTTGCATATTGAATTAGCGTTAGTTTTTACATCAATCAAAACTTAAATCAATAATGAGTTGGTCATAAAGTTTGTCCATCGGCGATTTCAATTTCATTTGAAGCTTTCTCCCTCGGAGCAATGACGACAATTTTGTACAATATATAAATTGTACCATCGTAACGATCACGGAAATCGAAGTCGTATAGATAAATGTATGTATTCATTAGAGGAGTTTCTTCAAATCGTAAGTATGTGGCATTGTGGAATTACCCCTTTGACGGAGTTCAGATTAGCTAGATAAGATATAACTTCCAACGATTTTTTTACGCATATTCATGCTTATTTAGATCGGTTAACACAATATAATTCCGGCTACACCCGCAAGCAAATTCTTATAACTTAATACGGCTGGTAACTTCTTGCGAAGTTCAACTTCTACAAGCTGTCTCGCTAATCTAAACTTCGCTGAGTTAACAGTTTGCAATACAGTGGTGCACAATTAACGGTCGTTTGACAAAAGAAATAAATTAGGCGAGCCTTAAATCAAAACCGAGAATAACAACGGTTCCGAACTAGACACTGAAAAGTTGACAATCGATGAAAACGCTGACTGTTGAAACATTACTGCGGAATGAATGAAATAATGTAACAAAATCCCGTTGCTCAAATGTTCATCGTTAATTCATCATCCTCCTGCCCTTATCCCAGGTGGGGTTACCTTGGTGGGGTCGTCACAACACGTGAATCATGTTGTAAGCGGTTTTCGCTTACAATGTGATTCACGTGTTGTGGTTTTTTTGTTTACAACATGATTCACGTGCTGTGGTTTTTTGTGACCGGCCGCCTGCCTGACGTCAACACTGTAAATTACTGCATCTCATATAATTATAACATTATAACGAGAATGGTTAATATACAGTATCTAAAACTTATAAGTTTATCTGTCATTCCTGTATTTGTTGTAGTCTGTCTTAAGTTGATCTGTCATTCCTGCATTTCTGTTTATTTTATATTTAAAAATTGCGTAATTGAAACACGAATTACGAGATAATTGCTATCGGAAAAAATCCCTTAGAAAATTGAACGCTTGTTTTCGAAGCAATGGAAATTATATGTTTAGAACTATGACAGAAAATAGAAAACGAACGCGTGAGGATGACGCTTGTAAATTTATGCCGCGATCGAAAAGGATAAGCAACCTGTACATAAATAAAAACCTCACAAGTCCACCTGTTTCCCAATCTGCGGAACGCAGTCATGTTAATGGAACAGGAATAAGTACAGAAGTACAGATGCATCGGCTTCGAATCTTCGAAATTCTGAATGAAGGCTAATTTACGATCCCGGAGTGGCTTCTTGTCGAATTATTGTTTTGAACTGCATTTGTAGAGAATGCGACGATCAGAACAACAGTTTCCTTTTTTAAACGATTTAAGTGTCTGCATATTGTTAAGTTTCGTACCTGTATTAGTATTATATCTACTAGTTATAAATATTTAAATATAAATTCGCTAGAATTCCCAAGGAGAAATAAAGCCAATAACTGAAATAACAATATGGTTCCGAAAAAAAATGATGGACATGCCGACCGTAGTGATAAGGGCAGGAGAAAAAAGAAGATAACGATAATGGTTGTATGTTAAATTGGTCAGGCAGAGTAACCATTGCATGTTCAAACACTTATATTTCATAAATACTCAACTGTCTGAAATGGAAAAGATTGAACAGTGACGATTACCTCTATCTGCCATCCTACCATAATGTCTTACAATGTCATGGACATGGCTCTATTGTTGTAGTTTGGTGTTGATGACCATTTAGACTTTGTATGCAATGGTAACACTCCGAAATATATAAAGCGTGTCGTTACCACCGCGACAATAAATGAACACACATATAGAGGATAACTTTTTAAAATTATATTAAACATTTAAATTCTTTAAACATCAATATTTACCGAGTTATTAAATTTTCCAAAAATTGTAACGTAAAGTTCATTTGTAAAGGTCACAAAGCATATGAATGGGTTGAATGAATTTAGAAGAGACAAAACATACTGTTAGAAGGAGAAGCTTGTAATTCGACGCTGTGGCGCGCGTTGTATAGGATGTTACAAATTTTGTTTATTTTTTATTTAATTAGTTTGTTTGAAAAATATTATTTTTCAATTATGGATTTTGTTTAACGTTAATATTTTTTTATGATTATTGGCAAGTAGCGTTAGACGTGTGTTCATTTATTGTCGCGATGGTAACGACACGTTGTATACAGTTGGACCAATTTTCCGAATCAACGTTAATTGGGCGCCACATAACCAGACATGGCCTATGGAATACGGATATGTAAGCTAAGCCACAGCCATAATAAACAACACAAGTACAGAACATAAATTCACCAATGCTCCTAGAGCTCAACTTAAATATTTTAGTTTTGTTTCTATATACTATTTTTTATTTATTATTTAACGTATGAAATAAGGGAATAACAGCAGAAATCGTCAAATGACTATATTATTATAGGTAAACACTGGAAAAGCACAAAGGTTCATATTCTGTGCTTGTGTTATTTATTGCCCTAATGACAATGACTGCTAGTCTTTATCGCACAACGCTCATCATACATTTAAATCTCGCATCTTTCGTCTAAATATAGCGTTTTTCTTTGTAATATAACAAAGTCAATTCCCTATGTATATAGTCGTGCCATTATCGTAACGATAAAGTTATTTAAATGTTCCATGTAGATGTTGTGTATTTTGTATTCGAGGCTCACCGAATTTACGGGAATATATAGCTTATTACCAACGACGAACGACGCTTTATCCATTGACGCGTATAGTGTCGGTATGTAGTGACGCCCTTATTGACTAATTACGTGTTTAATATTCGTATTTTTGAATATTTGTTATTACCTATGAGAACAAATCAAACGTTTTAGCATGTCGTTTCGCTGCCTTTTAACGGAGCGTGCCGTTACGCTTCGAACGAAATACGATTGTTTGTGTATTAATTCTACGACGGTATATACAATTTTCTAATGTTTTTGTATCCATTCCACGGCCCACTACGAATAATTATTGTAATATAGGTGTCTATTGTCCTCTGATATGTCTTAAGGAATATCCGTCTTATGTATATAGCTATAAGATTCATTAGACGTGGCACGATTGCTGTTTGGTTTATGTTCGTCGGAAATACGACCGGTATGGTTTGTAAGCAGCAGCACACTGCCTTAAAAGAATTCGAGGCGCGAATAGCGGATTGGGAGATTTGATGGTGTTTTTGTTTGACAAACCTTATCTAACTGAGATACATACAGTCGAGTTGAGTCATAGATATAATAAATTTTGCTTTTAATCTGAAGTTTGGAAAGCGCTTGCACGATTGAGAACGAATCTTCCAATCTGTCATCAGGAATTAATTGATATGTACGTGATAACGGTTTTTTGTATACAAATAGTTGGGATATTACATGTACTGTAATCGTCAGCCAGGTGTATTTATGTGTTTGCATTTCGTTTGTGACAATTTTTAAGCATTTTGCGATTGCAAAGAAAACAATGGCGTTATGTGTGTATTTTTTTTTATAAAAAAAACGTAAATTGTAAAAGTCCTTTTCTAGTTTTCTCCATAATAGTTCAAAAATTAACGAGGGCATTATCGTTTTATCAGATGTATATCTTATTAATAGTCTCTTCCGATTTCGCTGTGATCATTCAATATAGTTTAAAAATTTATGCTAAAATAAAAATTGACTATTTATTTTATACAGTACTTGGATTTATGATTTCTATGTTATTTTTTTTTTTTTTTGCATTTAAATCGTCTCCACTTTAAAATATTGTCTTTTATGAAAATAAAAGACGTAACGCCATTGTTTTTTTTATAAGACATTATAGTGATCTCGTCTTTACGAGCGACATCAGGCTTAGTAGAATAATTTGAACTCGTTTACCCTCCGTTTGAATTACGGCATTAGTTTTAACCTTAGCGATGTAATTATTTATTTGTTTAACGACCATTTAACTTTTGTATGTCATTTTAGATAGGCTGGTAAGTAATAAGGGTTTTTGTGATGTTCCATTTTGAATAATATATTTTATGCACAATGAAAAGGGCATTTGGATACGTCCGCGACAGGGCAGCCATGTTGACTGAATAAACCGGTACAAAACTACCCTCATCCAGTGCATTATATATTGTTTTAAGTACGTGTAAGTTTTTGTATATTTTTATTGTAAAAGTGAAGAAAAAAAAAAGTAAAGGGAAACAAACGTTAGCGAAGTGTGCGAACATTCTTGATCGCGTCACGCTTGCCAAGGCAACATCGCTTCTATGAAGCGAACTTTTTGATAATATTATTTTCCACGAATGATATTTCTTACCTAATGCTGTTTAGTTAATTAGGCTTAAGGTATCTTATTATTTAATCGTTCCGTGTAACTTTACATTCGTAATTTCGTTATGTGTATTATTAGAAATTATCAGAATGTTTTTTTTAGTATACCTACATATTT